AAGGACATGACCCTTGATAGGAGGGTGTGGAGGTTGAAGGTTAGCAAGTAGTTGAGAGCTTCCCACTTTCTTACCAGTAGTACTAGTAGCACGCATGTACTTTCCTAGTTCTCAAATTTATATTACATCATGTTGTTTAGTTTATTTCAGTATTCTCCTGTTGTTACTATTTTGGTACTATTATTCTTTTCTCCCCTCTCTTTCTTTCTTTTTCTTCTTCTTTTTCTCCCTCTACTTCTACTTATTCTTCTTCTTCTCCCTACTTTTCTGAGTCGAGGGTCTATTGGAAACAGTCTCCCTACCTTCACTAGGTAGGGGTAAGGCTTGCGTATACACTACCCTTCCCAGACCCCACATGTGAGAATATACTGGGTATGTTATTGTTGTTGTTATTGTTTTGAATGAGTTTGGTTTAGAAATTGTGTTATTTTAACTCAATAGTCCATATGCACTTGATCTGCTTTACCATTGGTGAAAAATTATCACTAGGTAAACTGGGAAAGAATTAAGAAATTTCAAAAGAAAAAGCATTTGCTTTCATCATATACAATTTGATTGACGAAAATTGAAAACAAGATTTCTTGTTACGCTCTGTAAATATTCTTATGATTTATTTGAATTTTGAGTTGTTTTTCCATGCTCCTCAGAATATCTTTATATCTTAAAGATATGGAACTCGATAAAAAACAATTGGAGATTCCACACGAAATTGTGAGGTTAGCCTAGGGCTGTCTAAGGGGAGAATTACTCGGAACCGGTCTGGTTCGTATCGGTACCGCTGCCTCTCCGTCCAAGTCCGGTTGGGGGTTAGGGGTAAGGGATTGGGGCTTAGAGGTAGGGGAGTGGGAGGGGACCGGTCAAAGTACTGTTAGCACCGATCTGGTTGGTACCCTTAAAGTACCAAACTGGTATCGATTCGGTACCGAACTGATACCCTTAACTTTTACTTTAATCTAGTCATTTTTTGGCCATTAGCCGACGATTACTTTTTTAATAATAGCCATTACCAACAGCCAAAAAATAGACGATTACTTTTTAATCCCTAAGTTTGTTAAATTATATTTTGGTCCTAAGTTTAAAACTATAAATACCTCATTTCATTCTTTTATTTATCACACAAAACTCTTTTATTTCTCCAATTCTCTATCTCTCTCTATCTCTAGTTGCACTTAACGTTCTAGCACTCTATTATTTTAGTATAATTTTTCAAGCATCAACATCAAGTATATGACGACGTATTTTTTCTTGGCACTACACTACTAGTTGGAGCTTCATCAACATCAATTACACGTCAGCATTTGGTACATTCGTTCTAACTTTTATTAATTTTCGCACTTATTTTTTGTTATACTTGTGTGCTATTTATTTTTATTTTAATTATTTATTACTCCCTCCGTTTCAATTTAGATGAGGTAGTTTGACTCGACACGAAGTTTAAAAAAAAATAAGAAGACTTTTAAAACTTGTAGTTTTAAAAGCTAAAGGGGTAAAAGCTTTGTGGGGCATGACACTTTGTGTGGTTATAAAAGCTTTTCATTAAGGGTAAAATGGGTAAAATGAAGAGTTTAAAGTTAAATTATTTCCAAATTTAGAAATGTGTCATTTATTTTGAAACATACCAAAAAGGAAAGTACCTCATCTAATTTGAAACGGATGGAGTATTAGAAATGGTTCCTAAACTAGTAAAAAATATATTTACTAAATTGATTAAGGATAATGCTAGTTCTAGTAATTCTAATCCTATTGATGACTTCACTCATGTAGATGAAACACTTGTCTATCATGATATTAGTGTTAATTATCAATCACTAGATCATGAAGCACTAGCACAATATGGTGATTATGAAATTTTGAGTGAGGATGAAGGAGAAGAGAATGATAACTTAGATGAAATACCAACTAGTCTTGTTGTTACAGCTCCAACTCAGAGTCAATCTTAGTGTGGAGATGATGCTCTGTTACCTCCCTCTAGATATACTAGTTGAACGTAAAAAAAGATCAATTTTTTTGTAATGGTTTGTGTAGGATAAGGTTAATAGAAAAGCTGTTTTTAAAATTTGTCAACGACGGCTATCTTCTAAAACTAAATCTGATCATGGTAGAACAAGAGGTCTAAAGAAGCATATGGAAATTCATCGCAAAGTTATTTGGCTTGCTAGGGAAGGGGTCCCCATTCTGGAATAAATCCTACACAATTCGGGCATGGTTATTATACTGTACAACCACAACTTAATCCTGTGACGGGAGGTCTTCTCCATTATGACGCAAAAAAGGACAGGAAAATATAGAAAAAATGGTTGTTGTAGAGGGTTTGCCTTTTAATTTTTCGTCTTCTGACGAGTTTATTCGTTACTTATAAGAAACATACAATCCTGTTTTTCAAGGTTTTCCTAGAACAATTGTTAGAAATAATAATTTTAAATTTCAACGTGAATATTAACAATATTTATGTTGTTTATTTTTCTACCTAGACTATAGAGTTTCTATCATTTCAGACATAGGTCGTAGTGTTAATGGTTATGATTACTTAACAGTTATATGCCATTGGATAGATAACAACTAGGCTATGCAAAAATGCATTATTGGTTATAAATTGGTTGATGACCGACACATTAATATTTTGATTTCTAAACAAATTAAAAAAATAATATGATTTTTATAAAATTTCTAACAAAATTACTATAGTTACTTTAGATAATGCTTCTAGTAAGACCTCTGTTGTAGGAGTTTTGAAAACTAGATTAACTCCACCTTTCACGAAATTATTTCATATTAGATGTGCATGTCATATTTATAATTTGGTTGTTCAAGATGGACTTTTTTGTTTGCCGCTACTCTCGACAAAATTCGATTTGCAATTGGTTATGTTTTTCGCTCTCAAATACCTACTAAATGTAGAGAATTAGGACGCATTGTGAATCTTGCGAATTACCCTTTAGAAAAATTGCTAAAGAAGTTGCAACTGGATGGAATTCAGTATATGATATTTTGTCTATTGTTGCAACTAGATGGAATTCAGTATATGATATCTTGTCTGTTGCTTATAAATATTGATTGTCTATTACCAACATATTTAATGCATATGTTTTTGCTATTCAAGATATGATAACATATGATGATTGGGATACCATTTTTCATCTTATTCAATTTTTAGAAAAAAATTTCTATGCTACTAAGAATTTTTTGGGATATATTATCTAACTATTTCTAGCATGTTAATTTATATAGCTGAAATTTCGATATTATTTTTTGTATATAAACAAAAAGAATAATATAAAGATGTTGTTCAAATAATAATTGAAAATTTTTAAAAATATATTTTTCTATTCCTATTATATACGTTATTGCTGATGTATTACATCCTCAAATCAAAGTTTTTGGTGCACAAAAACTTACTGAAACGATTTACAGTACTTTAGAAATTGAAGCAACATATAGACCATCTCATGTTACTTATTTCCTTAGTGTTCATCTAAATACTAATGTTGTATATGACCATTTCCAAAGACTCATGAACTCTGTTGCACCAACTAGTGCCTTTTCTTCTTTATCATCGCAACCTCTTAAAAAGACTACTACACGTAGACCTTTTGGTGCTATTCAGGAAATGAGTAGCCAATCGCAATCTTCACAAATTAATGAGCTTTATGTTTATTTACTCGCAGGAATACTGATGATGAAGCAAATGAAGACTTGCTGAAATATTGGAGAATAAACGACAAATATTTCCGAAACGATTTAAATTAATTTAAAAATTGAAGCAACACAAAGACCATCATCTCTTGCTACTTGTTTTCTTAGTGTTCAATCAAATATTAAAGTTTTGTATGACCATTAAAGACTAATGAACTTTGTTGCACCAACTAGTGGTGTCTTTTCTTCTACATCATCACAACCTCTTAAAAAGAATGCTACACATAGACCTTTTGGTGCTATTCAGCAAATGATTAGCCAATCACAATCTTCACAAATTAACGAGCTTGATATATATTTACTTGCAGATGCCGTGGTTGAATCACAAGGAATAAAGAGGATTTATTGGTATTACCGATAACGAAGTAAATAAAGACTTGCTGAAATATTGGAGAATGAACGAACAAACATTTCTGATTCTTTCAAGAGTGGCACGAGATGTGTTAACTGTTCAAGCTTCATCAGTAGCTTCAGAAAGCGCTTTCAGTGCAACACGATTTCAAATTGGAGACCACAGACACTCGTTGGCAGAAGACACCTTAGAAACTACTATTTTATTTAGAGATTGGACTAAAGCGGAGAGAAGAAACTTTGATCTTCTAGAAATAATTCAAGAAGACGACGATGCCTATAATGAAATACTATCTAGCGAAGACGGCGGAGACGCAGAAGAATAAGTGCTATCAATTTTAAGCGAAGAACCACAAAAAGTTATTGAAAAATTATGTAAATCTTTTAAGAGAAATATGCAATTTTATTTATTGAAATACATATATATACTTGTAACTTGTATTACATTGCATTAAATAAAATAAAAGGCACTCATAACCTTGAATTGTTTTCATCCCTTAAAGTGTGTATTTAAATATGATAATTTTTTAAAATTTTAATTTAAAAATGCCTCTAAGTACCTTTATCACCCCTTAAGTACCCTCCCCCACCCAGTATCGGTAGTGGTACCGATATTGTACCCCTAAAAAATCTCCTTACCCCGTACCCTTAATTCCCCTTAGCCCCAGTCCCCTCAAGGAAACCGGACAGCTCTAGGTTAGCCTGATCAAGGCACAAGAACAAATTATAAAGCAAATTCCTTTTTAGACCTCTTTCGTACATAATTCCTCCAAGGTGAACGCTATAAATATTCCGAAACTCCGTGAAAGGAAGAAAGAGTTTAAGAATATTATGTTTCTTTTCTTTTTAGAATTTAAGAATATGATCTTAAAAGGTTTGCTCAAATTGGTACTCCCTATTTATTTGACACATTTCCAAGATTCATCTAGCAAACTCAAAACAGCGGTTTCTTAAAATTCAAAAGCAGAAAAATATCATTTACGACCTTTGGCATTTCAATTTTTCCCCTTATAATAGAGGAAGAATTACAAAATTGAACTTTTTGTTAAATACACATTGGCATTCTAAAGCCTGTATCTTCTATGGCTCTGTTCCTAACCTATCTCTGCCTGCTTTGGTACTACATGACTTAACCAACCTTATGCAGCAAAAGCCACTCATTGGAATTTGCCGTAAAACAAAAAAAACAAAAAAAACACCTGCTAAAAGAATTACACATTCATGGTTCTACCTAAACAATTCTAACGACAACGTAATCTGTTAATTCAGAGTGACGAGCCAAATTGTGGAGTCTCCAACTACCTCCTCCGTCGGTTAATATAAGATTCAAAAGCCAAATGGAGACTTTCTCCTGCTTCCACCTTCACCGTACTGATCATTCCATTTTCTCAGCTCATTCATGCTCGCTGCATCATATGCGACTGATGGCCCCACCTGAGTATTGAGAACATGAAACAGTTATAGAAAAACTTAACAGAAAGCTTCATGATCTTGTCGTCACTTTACAAACCAATAGTTAAGATCAGCATATACAATGCTTGCAGCATGTATTGCTAAGCAATATCTGTTGATAACACTTTGCACACAACATTGATACTTCCTCCTGCTTTATAGAGAGAACATACCCGACATCTACCTTTACATAAATTTCAGGCCCTTCAATTAGAATTTCCAGTTTAAGATAATTTACCTTTGCTTTTGACTCAATAAAATCGTCTACACTGAGCGGTCGTAACACTGGAATTCCATCTTTTCTACCTCCCAGTGATTCAACCTGAGAAAAGAAATAAAGGTATTAACAACAATTTATCATCATTGATTGACAAAGTAAATGGCAGAATAAATCTCCGTGGAAAAGTTCCATTTAGAAAAAGAAAGTCTTTGATTCAACACATATAAAGGAGAATAAAACGCCACGTGGGATAGCCACCTAAAATATGCTAGCCCAAGCTTAATCATCCATTTTAAAACAAAGTCAATGTTGAACCTTTTTTACTTCAAGGTAATTCCTTCGAGTCCACGCAGGATGAGAACACTAAACTGCATGAGTAGCTACGTGGTCTGGAAAAACATAACAATGTACTCTCTCTCTCTATACATAACATGATTTAATCGTCAAAGTTGAGCAAAACATTCACCGTAAAACAGGTAAATATTTGGAGGAACCTTTCTGAAACCACTATGAGAGACCATAGTTGAAGGTTTGAAAAAGGAGGAAATAATAAACAACAATCTAAGACCAACCACAACTATAGTACCTTTCGTGCCGCATCATAAGACTCATACTTGGGTATCCTAATATGGGCCAACTTACCCAAGACAAAGGACATGTCAGTCCTTGAAAAATTGCTAGATATAATCACAGCAATGACCAATTACAAATGGGACTTACCTCCTTCTCCTCTTCTAGTATTTCTTGAACAGGTCTATAAGCTGCCGCAATGCACAGGTTCTGCAGATGATGCCAGAGTAAAGAAAAAATTGGTGATGAACAAGTTACAAATAAAAAACATGCCAGCATATAAAAAGTTTGACATGGTAATCAATTACCTTCAAATCACTACCAGAATAACCTTCAGTTGCATTTGCAAGATTCTCATACGGGAAATCTGCCTCCAAATTTTCCCGAGCAAGAATTATCTTTAGTATCTTTGCGCGATTTGCTGCATCTGGTAGGTCTACATATATCCTAAAAAATAACCACATACTTATCAGCAGCTTTACATCTAAGCCGATATATGTTTTTATCCTGTTTATATCCCATTATTGGAAACGGAACCATACTATATGCATCTGGTATTAGTGATGCACCAGATTAATGAGGAAGCATATAAAGTTGTGTTAGGAAGTTTAGAGTACCATTTAGTAAAAAATAACAGAATGATACCTCCTAGGTAAACGGCGAATAACAGCATCATCAAGGTCAAAGGGACGATTTGTTGCACCAAGTATAAGGATCTTCTGGTTCTCCTTTGATCTCAAGCCATCCCATGCAGCCATAAACTCATTCCGCATTCTTCTGGTTGCCTCGTGCTCAAACGAACCACCACGAGCACCAAGTAAGCTGTCAACCTGTTTTGATGCAACACAATTAACAGATGAAGAAAACACACCTAAAACATCTTGTGCTGAGAAACATGATCTCAGTTTTAAGACAGGAAGAAGGATGCTGACTAACTGCTTCAGATGAGCATTAATGCTATGCAAAGATTAAATTTTCCCGCCATGTACTTACTGTGAGAAAGCACGGGGAAAATATATTATTGATATCACTTTACAATATAATATAATAAGTCCTATTTATAGCTATACTCTACATAGTACATATTACTCCTATTCCAATGTGGGACTAGACTACTTATATACATAATACATAACTATCTAACACTTACAACAACAACAACAACAACAACAACAACAACAATATACCCAGTATATTCTCACAGTGTGGGGAGGGTAATGTGCATGCAGACATTACCCCTACCTCGCACAGATAGAGAGGATGTATCCGATAGACCCTCGGCTCAAATTCTCAAGTAACTTGCTCCTCCATAACTATATCACTATTAGACCTAGCTCGTTGAGCCTTACAAAGGAAGAAGAATCCTCTGCCCGTGATGAGTTACACCTCAAGAAAGGGAAGGCGGCAATAAATGTGAATTATCATCCTAATCACCCATCGACAGGACTCCAGCAACGTCCCTGAAATAGTAAACTTCTGTAAACCCATTTTCTTATTCACCAACGGGGTTGCTGGGATATGAAAATATTGCTAATAGGAGAAGTATCACTGTGATCTTGTTAAAGGAGCCTCAGATTTCTAATTTTCCATCAATTTCACGCATAAATTATCAAGCCCACACGGCCACACCTGCTTTCATACCTCATGACAATTCATGCCTAGGTTCCAGCTTAACAATTGTTTTTAAAGATGTGTTTTTTAACAAAGAATAGATAAAAAAGGGTAAAATAGTCAGATCATAATTCTTTTACATTGATGATAAATAGGTTAAAAGAAGTGTTACTAGAAAATCAGAATAAGGGAAGCCAGTGCTATGAAGCCATAAGCGTAATATCGTAAACCACAAGGGAACCTATCTCGCCATGTACTTGCTTTATTTAAAGTACTTCTATCTCGCATTTCAAGAGGTATATATTTATGGAAACTGTTTCATTAACTAACATCTCCACAATCACATGACAGTGTTCTAAAGTGAAATAGAATTTATTAGAAGGATGTATATTAAGTTTTATCCTTAACAAGATAATCAAGGTACCTACAGCTCTACTTTCCAGAAGGAATCAGTTAAGCAACTACATTAGTTTATCTGAATGCCAATATGCATCCTAAGTTTGATATTACAGTTCTTCCGCAACGGGTAACAAAATCATGGCCTTGAGTGTCTAACAGTTTGGAGTTCTTTTGTGGTGGCGGGGAGGGGAACTGTTGCTAAACAAGGGACCCACTGAAGATAGTACGTATGTGCATAACATGGATTGAATAATGATTTTAAGGAGATTAACAAAGATGAGATTCTCAATCGCAATCTTACAAAACTTAAATGTAAACAAATTGGCTGACATCTTCAAATTTCCAAGTTGTTTTGTCCATAGTTAACAACTTGTGGGCATCAAAGCATCTCAATTTAAGGCTACATGTCGTCAAAAGAAAACAATCTATTGAATGTGGAGATGTGGAGTGTTGGCTAATATAGGTAAAATTATTAGCAGATACCTACCGGTAGGCGTGACAAAACTAGCCCACAATTAACAACTTGTGGGCATCAAAACATGACAATTTAAGGCTACATGTCAAAACACAAACAATCTATCGAATGTGGAGATGTGGAGTGTTGGCTAATACAACAACAACAAAAAAAAAAAAAAAAAAAAAAAAAAAAAAAAAAAAAAAAAAATTCCAGTGTAATCTCACAAATGGGGTCTCGGGAGGGTAGTGTGTACGCAGACCTTAGTCCTACCTTTAAGAAGGTAGAGAGGTTGTTTCCGGTAGACCCTTGGCTCAGGAAAGAAAAAATGAAAGAGCAACAAAAAGCAAACCAATCAGAAAACCGAAGCGAACATACAAGACTAACATTAAGTACTGCAATCAAAAAATCGAAGCGAAAAAAAAAAGCAATACCAGAAATATAATAACAAGAAATACAAGACTAACACTAAGTAATGCACTACAACTACTGGAACGAACAAGGACAGCGCTTGGCTACCTACCCTCTGCCTTAATTCTCAACATTCACACATTCCTATCCAGGGTCATGTCCTCTGTAAGTTGGAGCATCGTCATGTCTTGCCTAATCACCTCTCCTCAATACTTCTTCAGTTTACCTCTACCTCTCCTTCAGCCCTCCAAGACCAACCTCTCACACCTCCTCACTGGGGCATCTGTGTCTCTCCTCTTCACATGTTCTTAATTCTATCTAATCTGGTATGCCCGCACATCCATCTCAACATCCTCATTTCTGCCACCTTCATCTTCTAGACATGGGAGTTCTTGACTGGCCGGAGTGTTGGCTAATATTGGTAAAATTATTAGCAGATACCTACTGGTAGGCATGGCAAAACGTGCCAATGAAAAGACTACCTGCCATTCTGCCAAGTTTGGGCGAGTTAATGACCCTCACATTTATTTACTTAGCCTCTTTTGACCTGCCTAATCAGCCCATTTAAAAGTTGGGCTGATTTGAGCTAAATATAGCGATATTTATGGCTCAATCCCTAGCTATCTATTTGCCAATTTTGGCCAGTTGCTACTTTATTACTCGGTTTAGTCCACTTAGCCAGGTTTTTGTAAAACCCTAGTCCCTACTTCTCCCACGTGACTATCATCATGCCCTATTCCCTTCTCTCCTCTCATTTTAGTTAGCTCATTTACTCATTTTCTCTCCCTTGTGCAGCAGTCGGGAATAGCCGCCGCCACAGACCACCACGTAACAACCGCCTTCCGCCCTATCTCCGCTAGCCGGAAATTGCCGTCGTCGGCCGCACAAGGGAGTCGTCTCTTTCTCCTCTACCAAGATCCATAACCCAAAACCTTCAAAACTCACTCCATCTCGACGAATTTCAGAATATCCGAAATCCCTAGTTTCTTTTTCTCAAATTCGTGAATCTACACTCATCTCTACAACACAAAACCTACATAAATGGATAGATCTTGGACGGATCTATCATTTGGCATCGGTTTCAATATGACTCTCCGGCAATCAGTTTTTCCGGCGAGTCACTAGAAACCGCCTTAAAGCTCCAGCCTTGCTGTCTCAAGTAACTGAACATGAAGAGCCGAATTTCGACATAGTGAATGAACGCAACACAACGCCCAAAGTCCGGTGGTTGCCTTTGGATATTCTGTTGGTTATTTGATATCGGGGTTCGCGCTCTGTGGTTTACGAACCTCATTTGGTTATTGTTAAACCCTTAATATTTGTCAGCTAAATAGTTGATAATTCAAGTGCTTTGTGTTGATTGCCATGCTCCTTAGTTTAGTTCAATGTTGTCTTGATTAGTTGTTGATTAATCGAAGAAGAGTAGTTGAATGATCTAACTAGTTGTTAACTAAGCTACATGTTTAATTCAGTTAATATTTTAAAGGGAGTAAATGAGGTGATTTATGATGTGTATATACTTTGTATATATGTATATGATTTTTATATAAATGTATATGCATATGCTTTGTCCATATATGTGTATAATTTACACGGTTATGTTGTGCATAATGGTAGAAAAGAGCTTGGATTTTTATATTTACTGTATAACAATGTATACCTACTGTATATACTTGTATAATTAATGTACATACACAACAGTGCATATAAGGTGGTGTAAAAATAAAAATAAAAAGCACTTAAAGTACATGAGTAATAGGTATACAGCGTTGAGAAATGCAAAAGTAAAATTGGAAAAAGTTAAAAAGTAAAATTAAAAGAGAACACTTATTAAAAGCAATTTGGCTATTCTAAATGTAAAACTTATTGGGCTATACTCGTTTTAAATTACTCAAATTGGCCCATGAGAGAAACCTTGTCAAAATACTAAAAAATAATGTTTTTTGTTTGATTTGTTACATATAACCATAATAAAGAAAAAAAGGTTTTATTAGTTATGTCCGGCAATTAAAGAAACAAAATAAACAAAGAAATTAAAACTTTGTAAGAGTTACGTTTTTTGGGCTATGACCCATTGTTTAGCCCACCTTGACCTAGATCTTCTCCGCCCAAGTAACCTTTAGGCAGGACCGGGCATGACCCATTCATTGATTCAACGTATTTTGACTAGCCAAGATTCAGCCCAAACAACCCATTTGCACCCCTACCTACTCGTGGTGCAATGAGAAACAGTTGATGTTTTGAAATGGTAAGTAATCAATGAGGAACAGTCGATTGCAGATTCGACATGGTGTGATCCATTTTTCCATTCGAAGACTTCTCTAGAAGATATGCAGAAAGATTGAAGACCAATTTCGCTTATTATGTCGCACCTAAAGGTGTAGTCTAGTGGTTAATGAGGTGATGCAAAAACCTTGAAGACCAAGATTCAAATCCCAATAAGACAAAAACATTAGGTAACTTCTCCCTATTTAACTAAGCCTTGGTAGGAAATTTTCGGTACCTCTGTTGGTGGGAGCTAGCAGGTACCTGAAGATGTACGTGCAAGCTTACTCAATCAGCATCGTTATCACAAAAAAAAAAATTGACTATCTAAGATATTACACATTCTCCCAACTTGTTGACCTGTCATCCTTTCCCCTTCAAAGCTATGAATGACATTTGATCCATATTATTAATGCCTCAAAAGGTACTTCTTGTTTTTAGATATAAAAATGTTGCATTATTTAAGACTTCAATGCATGTCATCAAATATGAATCCATGATAAAGAGTTAGATGATGTTTTTGAATATCTAAATTCTTCCCGGAGACAACTTGAATATCAGATTTTATTCGGAGGACGCCTTCACAGCCGATGCGCTAAGCTCCTGCTATGCGCGGGGTCCGAGTAATATCAGATTTTACTCGGAGGACGCCTTCACAAAAATGTAAATTGACAAAGCTAAAATAAAAAGTATATCAAACCAATTAATCAACTATGCCTTCATCTAAACTAGTCGGGATAGGCTACACGTATCTTCTATATCCATTCTCCTCTATCAGGCCCCCCATCTCATACACAATGAAAATTGAAAAGTAAATTGCAATATTTTAATTCAAACCTATGTTACAGGGATTCGTTTAGGGGTATGTATCTGGTTCAGGTGTTTGTACTCCAATAAGAGTACACCAAGTTTTTCCCTAATTTTGAGTGTATTTTGAAGCGCCAGTACGAGGTATCCACATGATTAACCCACCTATTCGACATGGATATGTTAAGGCAAAATGGAGGATCCATACGATCCAAACACACCGTAAACCTTGAAAAAGATCAACACTTAAACAAGGTGGGTGAAGTCGCCAAACCTTCTTATTACATCTTTGAAGTGCTCTCAAAAAAAAAATACCAGTGCATACAAATCATCATTGGGGTTCCTCTGATGCACAAAGCAATAAATTCTTATAGAAAGACCAACAATAGTTATTACTAATAAGTTATTTTAACTCTTGTTTCAGATTTAGAAAGAACAAAAGTCAATAGGCTACTATGTGTGAAGAGGCTGAGACAATTCAATCATTTTATTTTTGCGTTAGACGATTACTGAGCAAATATGGAGGATTTTCATTAATCTGATAAAGTGGGTAATGCCTACGGATATAATTGATATTCTAAGATGTCGGAGCAAATATAGTACCTTCCCCCGCCAGAAAGAAAGATGAAAGATTGTCCCAACTTGTATTTGGTGGACAGTTTGGTCAGAGAGAAACCAAAGATGTTTGGAAGACAGAAGATGCTCCATCTAGAAACTAAAAATGTAATATTTAGTCCTTTTCGATTTTCGGTGTAAACAAGAGTATTTGGAAGATCCAGAATCCATTGTTGAAGGTCTTAGGGGCCTTGTAGTATAGTAGAAATTATCAGATGTTGATGTAGAAATTCATTGTTGATGTATTTTATTTCCTGGATTTACTAGGAGGGTTTCTAAGGTGCTCTTTGTAACATTTTGTACCACCTTTGGTACCTTGTTAATAAAACTTTTACCTTATCAAAAAAAAAGAAATTATCAGATCTTCCTATATTTGTTTTGTAAATTTGCGTGACCTTGCTCCCTTTGGTACAGTCAATATACAACAACAACAACAACAACGACCCAGTGAAATCCCACTAGTGGAGTCTGGGGAGGGTAGTGTGTACGCAAACCTTACCCCTACCCCGAGGGAGTAAAGAAGTTGTGTCCGATAGACCCTCGACTCAAGAAGACGAAAAAAAGACGAAAAGAGGCAATATATCAGTACCATCAATAAAAACCATAGAAAAAAATAACAGCATCACCAGAACCAGAAAATAGATGAAAACCAAAAATAATAACCAGTAGATAAAGCCCCGCACTAAGAGGAACTTTGGTACAGCCAATATATACATAAAAAATGATACCTTCTCAAAAAAAAAAAAAACATAGGCTACTTGATGAAAACAATGTTTGTCCTCTCCTCAGTTTCAACATCTCCCAAACACCGCTTACATAAATAATAGCTTGTTTGGCCAAGCTTCGCCAAAAGCACTTTTTTTTCAAAAAAAAGTATTTTTTTTTCAAAGTTGAAGTGTTTGGCCAAGCTTTTAGAAAGAAAAAAAATGTTTTTGAGTAAAGGCAGAAGAAATTTTGGAGAAGTAGAAGAAAGGACATGGAACAAAGGAATTACAGGTTTACTCGAGGAGAAATTGGGACCAAGAAAAAGAGATTAAAGACTCTCAACAGAACCAAACGTCGCACCCAAGGGTGTGGCCTAGTGGTCAATGAAGTGAGTAAGAACCATGAGGTAATCCCAGTGGAGGCAAAAAAAACACTAGCTGATTTCTTCCAATCTATCCAAGCCTTGGTGGATAGAGTTATCTACTACTTGTTGGTAGGAGGTGGCAGTTACCATGTGGAATTGGTTAAGGTACACGCAAGCTGGCCCAGACACCACGGTTATAAAAAAAACAGAAGAAAAAAAAAAAAAAAAAGTCCCCCCGTAAGATCTCACTGAAAATTCTACAAAACCTAACACTGCTTTACCCCTTGTTTATTTAGACCTTCACCTTCCGATTACCAAACGTAAAAGGGTAAGAAAAGTCACCAAGCATCCCATGTCAAATTTTAGGTCATATAGAAACTTGTCCCCTTTCCTATATAGCGTTTCTTTCTTAGTTATCAGGAATGGACATACCGAGAAATGTGCTGGATGCTTTGAATATTCCCTAGTGGAAGGAGGCAATTCAAGAGGAGATGAACGCTCTTGATAGAAATGAAACCTGGGAAATGGTAGAACTACCACGTGGAAGAAAATAGTGGGCTGCAAGTGGGGTAGCAAAAGGGTTCACTCAAACCTATGGGATTGACTATCTCGAGACATTCGCAGCCAAGCTGAATTCAATTAGGGTCCTTCTAACCATTGCTGCCAACCTTGATTGGCCCCTTCAACAACTACAAGTGAAGAATGCATTCTTGAATGGAAAACTTGAAGAAGAAGTCATAGATCCTCCTCCGGGTTTTGAAGAAAGGTATGGAACTAGAGTGTGCAAAAAATCTCTCTACTGGCTCAAGCAATCTCCAAGAGCTTGGTTTGAGAGGTTTGAGAGGTTTGTGAGAAAACAAGGGTACACTCAAGGGCAAGCAAATTATACTATATTCATTCGACATTCACTTGAGGGAAAGACAACCTAAGTTGCACGGACTCTGCACTTTTAGTGCCGTACCCGTGTCGACACGATGTGGGTGTAGGTATGGGATCCGTACCACATCTGGTCAACTGATTTTGGGTACTTTGACCAAAATCGACGGAGAAATTCGGGACACATACAATGATTTTTGAAAACAAAACAAAAGCTAGGGTGATATTGAAGAAAATGGAATACCTTGTATATAAAAATTTCTATGTCAGTCCTTTTCCTTTTATCTCCATCTCGGATTCTCCTCTTGTTCAATTTCTCCTTCTCGGAATACCTTGTGAGTTTTTCACATAATGTCTCATAATTTAGACATATTTTTATAACTCTATTTTTAAATATTTAAATTATTTAAGCCGAACCCCGCACCTGTATCCATACCTGGATCCGCACCCCCGAATCTTAAAATTTAGATCATGAAGGATCCGACCTCTAGATCCGCACCCGTGTCAGACACCTGCACTCGAGTCCGAGCAACTTAGAAGACAACTATCTTGATAAGTGTACATCGATGATATTATACTTACAGGAAATGACTTGTTGAAAATGAAGAATTTAAAATATCAGTTGGCATCGGAGTTCGAGATCAAAGATTTGGGCCAGTTGAAATTTTTTCTTGGAATGGAAGTGGCGAGATCAAAAGACGGCATTATGGTCTCACAAACGAAGTATGTGCTAAATCTTCTAAAAGAGACAGGGATGAGTGGTTGTCGTCCAGCTGTGACACCTATTGATCCAAAAATATAATTCGGAAACAAAGAAGGAAATTCAATTGACAAAAGTCAATATCAGAGACTAGTGGGGAAGTTGATTTACTTGTCACACACGCGGCCTGATATAGCTTTTGCAGTAAGCTTAGTCGGTCAATTTATGCACTCTCCGATGGAAGGGCACCAAGAAGCAGTCTACAGGATTCCAAGATATCTGAAAAGTTAGGGTTGCTTTTCAGGAAAAATCAACAAAGGGGCATAGAAAGCTTTACGGATGCGGACTGGGCAGGTTCTACTACTGACAGGAGGTCTCCTTCTGGATATTGTACATTCATCTGGGGAAATCTCATGAATTGGAGGAGTAAAAAGCTGAATGCCGTAGCCCGTAGCAGTGCAGAAGCTGAATATCGATCTATAGCCCAGGGGATATATGAGATGATTTGGCTCAAGAAGATGATGGAAGAACTAAAAATGGCAATTGCTCTACCAATGAAGTTATACTGTGACAACAAGGCCGCCATAGGCATTGCTCACAATCCAGTTCAACATGATAGAACAAAGTATGTTGAAGTGGATAGGCACTTCATAAAAGAAGAGACTGAAGAAGGAAGTATCTGCATGCCTTTCGCCCCAACAAATCAGCAAATTGTGGATATTTTCACAAAAGGCTTGTTTACAAAATTTGAATTTCTTGTAAGCAAGTTAGGCATGACAGATATTTACATGCCAACTTGAAGAGAAGTGTTGATTTGTGAATATTTGATTATGCTTTGTAGGATCTAAATAAAATCCGATCTGCTAGGTTGTTAAGTATTTTTAGGAATCTGTTAAGCTGAAATCATGCCTTGATTGTTTCCTAGTTGTTTCTTTCTCTGTGCTATAAAATTGTACCTCTACACATGAATATATTGAGGTAATTTGGTACCAAAACTAACAGAAGGGAAAGCTGACCAAGTGATATTTATATTGATCTAACTGGTCTCACCATATCCAAATAAGAAATGTTCACCATTAAACCTTCATGTAATGAACTATAAATAATCAAATGTGAGTCCACTGCTCCCATAATTAGAGGCAGTTAGCGGGTAATTACCGTTCCAAATGCATTAGACACTTAATGCTGACACATGGAACTAATATGGATTAAGCACAGTAGAATTTTGTCAAGAAAGTGAGACAAACACAAGGAGTTTATGATAAGATGTTTAAGCATAATGAGAAAAAGTGGCATCACATGAAAAGGGGTTTTTACCTCATCAACAAAAATTATTACAGGAGCCAGCTTACTGGCAAATGAGAAGAGTGCCTTGGTAAGCTTTTCAGCGTCTCCAAACCACTGCAAAAGGAGAAAGGAGGTAAAATATAAAATAGTTAAATAAAGTTTAAGAGGAAGCAATCAAGCTTTCCAGAAATAAGACAGTGAAAACATCGAAAAGAGACGCAAAACACACCCTTGAGAGGCAGAAGAGGTAGATTGACAACATGAATACTGTTTTATTTTGTTTTAATAGTCGGTAACAAGAACTTTTCTGATGTCAACATGATTAAAAACACAGCTCCACTCACAACAGCATTCTATCATAAAAAATGCAAAGTAAGACTAATTGTTCCTGCAAACAACGTTTAAGTCCATTAAGAATCCTTTTCAGCCTTTTTAGAATAAAACTACAGGAAGAAAGATGGAAATACTCATGAATCTAGAAAATTTAAACAAGACTCATTCCTTCGTGCAATACAAACTAATTTCATGCCAGTCAATACCAAAGGACGAGAATTATGCCAAATATAAAATAAATAGGTTACTGAATACAGTAGTTGCAACTCTGGATTTTCCTTTAATAAAAGTCTTAACTAATAACGCAATATACCAACTATGATAGGATAAGGATTTAATAACAATTAGTTGAATTAATGAACAACCAACTACCTCCTCCACATCCCCATTCCCCAGGCAAATCCCAAAAAAATTGCTAAACAGACACATTCATGGTACACATTGGTAATCAGGACAAAAGAAGCTTCTTGTTTCCTTATCATTAAGAAAGCTAACTTCCCCTGGTAGCTGATAACTTGATAAATTGCTAAACAGACACTTCCTCTTACATGGTCTCTTCAGTTCAGGAAGCTTGGCCGTTAACTTGGTATTACTTAATGCTGAGACAAGACAAGTTGTCAGATTGTGTATAATGCGTAGCAAACAGGGCACATCGGCATTCATTTTACACTTCTTAGTTCCAGCAGTGAATCATGCATAATAAAAATTAAAGCTCGTTAATGGCTGTCATATTTTTTGAATTTTCCAGCAACACTAGTAACTGTAAGGCTCCAGTCTGTCATGACAAATATTTGCCTTCAGCAGAGATTTTCCTTTATTAATTCTATCACATTTGCAGAGGACCAGAGACTTTATTACCCATAAATTTTCTTTTTTCGATAACCGAGAAATCCCCGAGGGCCAGTGACGCACGGTTTGAAACTCGATGGATACTGAACGGCCCCTCTACCCTTCTCCACTTCACTACCAAGCTTTTGACTGCGGCAGGGTTCACCCATGACGTATTACCCATATTTTGTTTCTTTTTAGTATAAAAACATGTCAATATATGAGTTATGCTCTGGTCTAATTAATAATTTTAATCTTTTCAGATGATGATGATGATGATAACATAAATCACAAGACAAAGTACATAATTGGAAATTGTCCCAGCAAGACAAAAAAGAATTGAAAATAAAGAGAGAGCATTTGCTTAACTTACCTTTGATGTAAGGGTTGAACCAGTAATACTAATGAAATTAGCTCCTGCTTCTGTTGCAAGCGCCTTAGCAACAAGAGTTTTTCCAGTTCCAGGAGGCCCAAAAAGTAAGATCCCCTTGCAAGGCTGATCAAAAGAAAAAGGTAACTAAGCAGTACCTAAAACGTTCTCTTTTGTTTCTTTTTCAGGAGGATGACTAGCAAGACAGATAAAATACCCGCAACAGATTTCCACGGGAGAAAAGCTCTGGTCGCCACATTGGTAGGATTACAAGTTCATTCAGTGCCTTCTTTACTTCTTCAAGAGCACCAATATCATCAAATTTGATTCCGATTTCACCTGGTGGAACGACTGCTGAGACAAAGTTGTTCTCATACTCATCCTTGGCAAGATTCTGCAAATTTGAAAGTGATCCATGGTAATAAGCTAGAACTCTGAATATATTTTTTTAGCATTAAAGCAGGGGATAATACCTTAAGATTCTGAGACGGCTTTTTTGACATTGTTTCCTGCTCCTTCAACCTCAAAATTGTGGCTTCAAGGCTTCGCATGATAAACAGCAGAAATTAACTTCAAACTCATGCAAAACGTAAGTCCGTTCACACGTACAGAAAAGCAAAAAAGAATTACCTTTCACGAGGCAGATACAATCTATCCCCTTTAATAGATGGTTGGAGGCACGTGTACAGGTAATGATTTTTTGCCCAACCAATAACTTTTTCAGCTTCTGTAGATGTAAGAGAAACCAAAGATCAGACCATTAATGCAAAAGCTTTTAGCTTTCCCTTAAAATTTATGAAATTATGATCTACCTTCCCATATAAACTAACAGCATTCTTTATTTTAATGCAGGTTTCTCCTTAAACTGCGTCCCATTTTATATGACACTACTACTATTTGGGAAATCAGACAATTTTTTCTTTAATGATACTTTTTCAATTATTTCTTAAATATTTTATTTTGACTTAATCATTTCTTAAATACTTACAATTATAATGATTGAACTTCACAGTACTGTTTACCATTGTTTTTAAAGACGAAAAGCAAAAAAATGACAGGGTTCATGACCTTGAAGCGAAAAGTGAGAATTTAAGTGCACACTTCTTTGAAGTTAAGTGTAGAATTCGTGACTTTAAAGAATACCAAACGTATTCATTCTCAAAAAAAGAGTACCAAACGTATATGGATTTAGTACTACAGCAATCAAATTACAATTAATTCAATATACAATATGATATTAATCCAACTCCTCAAATTTAGATTCAAAGGACCAACCGCATCTCGTTGGGATCACTTTGCGCATCATAGTTTGAAGCACATGGCTTCACCCATAAAGCGATAGGTTGTCGCTTTGCATCACGATGGTTCTTAATAACACTACTTTATACATATTTTACAAATATGTAAATTTTTACTTTTAAAAAAATTAGGAATCAATATCCTAATTCAATCAGTGTTGTCAAACGCTCATTTAAGGCAAGCTTAAGCCCTGAAGCTCAAAAAAGCTCAAGGAGGGTGCTTCGCCTCGCTTAAGTTGCGGTTCAAGGTAGGCAAGGCACTAAGGCGTGCACCTCATTGCCAATGATTTCTATCTTTGATTGAGTGGTAATAAACAACAAATATAATCAGCAAAGAAGTGCATTAGTTAAGGAAAATATTATGAATGAATTTGTAACTTTTTTCTTAAATTACTTGTATATTTTTATCACTGTCCTTCATTGCGCTTTTTTTACTAAAGCTCACACTTTAATTGCGCTTTGCGCTTAAAGCCCCAGTAGAGCGCTTTTTAGACCTTTTCGCCTTTGACAATACTGAATTCAATGAAGTATAGATACTTTGACACAATGTACTTTGAACCCGTCATTCTTTTCTGGATAGAGTATTATTTACGAGATAACTCCAAGAAACCATAATATAATCTCAGTAACCTATACTTCCTAGATCTCCATTCTTGATAAAACTGGAGAAAGACACAAAAGTTGAATTCGGATATTAGTATATCTATGACCAAGTGAGAGCTGAACATTCCATTCTGATTTGTTCAATTAAAAGAAACAATATATTATGATTTCACACAAAACACTTACTCTGCTTTGTCAGAATTACACCATCAGTATTTACATGCAACAAATCAATGCATGAAAGCTCATGCTCTTCCAGAACCTGAAATATAGATATTTATAGTGACAACTCCACCAATCAAAAAGAACCACCAATACAGAGACGATAAAGATGTGCGACTAAATGAACATATAGAGGTACCCAACCATCAGTTTAGAAGATCTAAAATAGAATAAAATTCAAACGAATACATCCAAAAGCACATATCTTTCTCCATACCTTGTACAATTCATTTAGGTTACTACGAGCTATTACAATTCTCCTGTCTTCTTCAATCTGTTTATTAAATGTGCTAAGGAGATCTTCCTCCTGTAAACAGAAAAACCGTGGCAGGATGAGAAACCACCAAACTGAATACAATGCTTAAGAAGACAAATGTACGAAAAGAATAACTTGAAAAAACTATTTTCACCAATGAGGCATCAAACAACAACACAAAGAAAGTGCTGTGACAAAGAAAAATCATGTTTTAACCTATTAGTGTTCCGAATGTCAAGCGTATGGAAGCAAGAAGTGTTTGTGCTCTACTTGCACTCATGTGGACCATTTCAAGAGAGAGAAATAGGAGAGCTTTGATGGAATAGAGAAGAACTTGTACATTTGAGGATTAGCCTCTTTTCCCATATTAGGTTTTAGTGCACCCATGAGAGATCTTTAAGCATAGAAGATTGGGTGTCTTTCGTAGAGAACCGTATTTCTTTGAGAGGTTTCTCTATTTTTTGGTATACTTCTGGTATACGGGTATTTATGCCCTTCATTAATGAAATCTTATCACCTTATAAAAAATGAGAAGCAAATGACATGATAAACGCAACACTAAAACTGCTAAAATTAGGAAAAGAAGTACTTAATTGCATTTCCTGTAGTTAGAAACTACACAAAATGTATACTTTAAAGAGAATTTCAAATTTCACTGGAACAAAAATGACTTTAAACAAATGGATCTTCAAACCAAAATCATAAAAATCGGCATAATAAACAGCTTCAGGTGACAAAATCATTCCATCTTTCATCATGGCTTAATGATTCATTTGGCTTAATGCACAGTTTCAAAAGGAAAAAAAAAAATCTTTGATTAATATGAGGAACAAGTAAATTAGGAATTATGAGTCCTTTCCTTAAAGTATAGCAAAACAATACAACAATTATGAGAAACTATAAGCACTGTTATTGTTTCTGGTAACATACCACAGAAATATAAGCAATTACAGCTCTGTATGATCAAAAAGACAAAAACTACTTCAACAACAGTAAGAAATTTTTAGTACTTAACCATCTAAATAGTACGTGCCATGTCAAACGCCTATTTGTAGGTATGGGTTCATCAACATATTTCAGTATCTGACAAGACATTTTCTGGTAACAATACAACAATTATGAGAAACTATAAGCACTGTTATTGTTTCTGGTAACATACCACAGAAATATAAGCAATTACAGCTCTCTATGATCAAAAAGACAAAAACTACTTCAACAACAGTAAGAAATTTTTAGTAGTTAACCATCTAAATGGTACGTGCCATGTCAACCGCCTATTTGTAGGTATGGGTTCATCAACATATTTCAGTATCTGACAAGACATTTTCGCATTCCACTACAACAAACTGCAAATGTTAGTCTACTATGAATCAAATAGATGCAGGGAGTGAGCAGAATCCTGCTTCTTAAAAAGTAGTGGATGGCGTCAATCATTTGCTTGTACTTCCACTTCAACAACAGATTGTGGAAAGCTGTTTGGAACTTCTCCGGATAGAGTGGGTGATATATGGTAATGTTAAGAATATGTTATTGAGCTGGACGTATTAGGGAAAGAAATTGCTTTTTAGATGAGTCACACAGGTTAGTAGTTAACCATCTAAATAGTACGTGCCATGTCAAGCGCCTATTTGTAGGTATGGGTTCATCAACATATTTCAGTATCTGACAAGACATTTTCGCATTCCACTACAACTAACTGCAAATGTTAGTCTACTATGAATCAAATAGATGCAGGGAGTGAGCAGAATCCTGCTTCTTAAAAAGTAGTGGATGGCGTCAATCATTTGCTTGTACTTCCACTTCAACAACAGATTGTGGAAAGCTGTTTTGAACTTCTCCAGATAGAGTGGGTGATATATGGTAATGTTAAGAATATGTTATTGAGCTGGACGTATTAGGGAAAGAAATTGCTTTTTAGATGAGTCACACAGGTTAGTCTACTACTCTACTATGAATCAAGTAACTGTAGGGAGTGAGTGAATCTTGCATATTAAAAATCAGGGGAGGGCATAAATCACTTGGTTTTGCACTGTTTGCCAACAGATTGTGGAGCTGTTTGGAATTTTTCCAGATAGAATGGGTGATGTTTGGTAATCTTAAGGTTATGCTATTGAGCTGGATGTATAATGGAAGAAATTCAATATGAAAAATCCCATACTATTAAGAAAGAATTCTTTTCCGGACTCCAGGTATGGAGTATATATATCTTTTCTTCAGCTAAGTTGCTCGGACACGGGTGCGGATCTAGAGGTCGGATCTTTCAAGATGTAAATTTTAAGATTCGGGGATACGGATCGTAGTACGGATACGGGTGCGGGGATCCGGCTAAAAATAATTAAAAAGAATAAAAATCTCTCTAATTTATGAGAAATTTTGTGGAATACTTACGTATAGCTTGTAAAGTGTGGATTTCCTTTTTATTCTCAAGTTGTAGATAAGTAAAAGATTATTTTTCTAGATAAGATATGCTATTTTCTTCAAATTTACCCTAGTTTTACTTTTGATTTCGGTAATCAAATTGTATCTCGTCTCGAATTTTTCTGTCCGTCGTGGTCAAAGTACCCAAAATTGTTTGACCAGATCCGGTACGGATCCCATACCCACACCCATACTAGTGTCGTGTCGACACAGGTGCGGCACCTAAACTGCCATGTCGGAGCAACTTAGTTCTTCAATGACTTCCCTTTTGTCTTATCATTAAACACTAACCAAAGACAACAGACATGTATCCTACGGAACCTTCTTAAAATTTGAAACACCAGCAGACCTTTCTGGATCGCGTAAAAATGAATTTATAAAAAGGGCAGCCTTGTGCACTAAGCTCCTACTCTGCGCACGGAAATTTCTGAGTAGGAAAAAATTTATACTCAGAAAAATAGCTCCCTGATATATGGATCACATATGGGGAAATTTACAAATTGCACAAAATACTGTTTCCAAATTACACAGAAAAAGACAATAAATCATCTGATCAACTAGCACGATCGCAGAGAGTTTTCGGTTATAATGCTACTAAGATTAAGTGGCACGAAATTAGT